CAATACATATTTTGATTACTTCCATTTTAATTCAATTTTTGTTTAATATGTTCACCCGATAAGTTTACTCTTTTATTTAAACAGAGATTACTAATTAATAGTAACAGAGCTCGATAAAAAGTACTAAAATACGTTACAATTACAATTTATTTGTACGTTTGTATTAAACATCCCATAAATGTCTAAAGTATTATATGTATTGCATTCTTCGATTTTGTCTGAGAAACCCTATATCTTTGCACTGGCTGGCTGGACATCAGCTTTGTTAAAGACGCAGTTGTTTTCAAAAAGGTTTATGATTGTGTGTCCGTACAATAGCACTGTAATTAGTTTCTTTTTGCATCACAGCGAATTAGAGTGAATGTATAGAGTAACTGCGTTACATAACTGATCTAATTACTATAATTATAATTTTAAGGTTAGTGTTAGTTATGTATGCTATATCTTTATCATGCTTTGAACCATAATGCATGGACGTACCGAGAAATTTTTCCTGTTGGGGACCGGGGTAAAATACAATGAATTATTGATAATTTATTGCATTTTCTTTTTGTTTTAATTTGTGGGGGCTACCCCCTACCATAGCCCCCGCTGCGTACAGTCATGATTCAGTGGCAGAGTAATGGCCTCGTAACTGTGAGGCCCCATGATCGAAACTATGTCGCTGCGCTATATTAGTGCCCTTTTGTGAGGTGTTTATCCTCATTACTATCAGTTATGACTTAAAGACGTACGTCCTGTATAGTTGATAAGCATAGTAGCACACACATGGTTTAACAGTCACGCAAAAGATCTATTAGAAATAAATCATTGTCAAAGTCATTCCATAAATTGTGGTAAAAAAAAATATTCCACCTTTATGATCAACAGTGTATATAATTCGATTTGTTAATATTCCGCGGAATTTGGAAACAATCTTTTCCTTTATTATGTTGGTCTAATGAATATATTTATATTCAATACTTGACATGTGAAAGGGCAATTCTCGTAAATCATTTTTGTAAAGCCGACTGTCTTAATGAGGGAGAGAGAGGGAGAGAGAGAGGGAGAAACGTGGGGTTGGAAGTGGAAAGAATACCCCCATATCCGTGAATTTCATAACCAATTTCATCTTACGTAGAGGCCTTCGTGAAAATGTTTCAAATAAGACCCATTTTCAATCTACATTTTCCTTGTTTTTATCTTAGACAGGAGTCTTGGTTCCATAGGCATAGCATTTTAGTTCAAATAAAGGCTATTTTAAATCTACATATTCCCCTTTTTTCATCTTAAACAGGGGCATTGGTTCCACGAAAATAATACTCAAGTTTTGCGAAATAGGGGTTAATAATTTTGCACTTATAAGTATTAGATATGCGAGGGATGGAGAAAGATAAGATAAGACAAGATATATATATATATATATATATATATATATATATATATAAAGAGAGAGAGAGAGAGAGAGAGAGAGAGAAACAAGGAAGAAGAACAAGTAAGCTGACATGGAGAGAGATTAAAGGTAAAGACCAGTTTTGGAAACGCCCCCTCTCAAAAAATGAAATTAGAGTTCTTATTACCAATCATTTGAAAGAATATGTTTTGACTTATACGTGATGATACAAATTTTGTCGGGAAACCGCCTACTAATTGATATATTTGGTAAATTATTATATCTATCTGGACTGGATAGATATAGGGTAGTCCCATATACATCTGTCTGTGTACAGTGCTTGTAACTTTACCAAGACTGGGCCAAATTCTTATCATTTTGATTATTTCAGAACGTTTCTTTAACAATGCAATCGCATGACCAGAACTGGTCGATACCTTTAAGTGACTCTCACACTCTGCCGTGTAGGCCTACCGTGTGCCACCGTGCGCGAAAATGTCTGCGGACGGTGGAGAACGGCGAGGGCACACGGTGGTTCGTTATCAAAGCGGGCAACACGTTAATAGGGCGTTGGCGCTTATTTACACCCGG